ACTGTGCTCCATCTATTGGTGGGGAGCAGCGCCTGCTGGAAAACGGGTCCAGCGTCCCAGAACATTGTATCCATTGAGGAACACAGAGGAGCGAGGCAGTTTTACACTTTAGTCCTCTTCTTGTCTCTTCATACCCCTCCCCTGAGACAGCAGATAAACGGGGGTGATCTCACGGGTATTAAACAGCAGATAAACATGGGGGTAATGCACCATTTATCAGAATGCTCAGGCCCAAACGGTACTTGCGAGATTTGATCATGGACCGTTGGGCCAATCATCTTAATGTTGAGTGTTCCCTTCTGACGCCGATCCACTGGTTTAAAGACCAGAAATCCAAACCTGCAAAAATCTCCTCCCTGCAGTGGCAGATACTGCACCGCTGCGTGCCCAAAAAGCATTGGCTGGTGGACCGCACTAACCTGGAGCAAAGAGGCCTGGTGTGGCCGTGGTGCCAGCAATGAGCGATGTCTGCACCTGTTCCCCTCTCATAAGAGGGCAGAGACTATCGAGCACACCTTCATGCAATGCCCGATTTCAGATTTCCCACATTTTTGTTTGGGACGATGTCCGTTACCCTGAACACAAAACTGTTGTCAGCCTGTCAGGTTATGGCACTCGGTTCCCATTTCTGCGCCCAGTCTGGCCATCTTCAGAAGCTGGGGACAAATTTTGGGACAATGTTTGGGACAATGTTTGGGACGATGTTTGGGACGATGTTTGCTACTCTCAACACGACGCTGAGGTTAGGGTATAGCACTCTGTTCAAATTTTTGTGCCCAGTCTGTCCATTTTTTTTTTTTAATTAGTTTTTTTTTTGAGAAGTTTGAGACGATGTTTGTAAAGAGGATTGAGGGGGGGGTTCTGAGTCGTTTTCTGAATTTTTGCCTATTTCTGAAGTTTGTTGTAGTAATTTCCTAAGGAGCCCCAATTTTTCTTAGCCAAAGCCGGGTAATGGCCCCGGTATCTCAACTTCAAAATTCTATGTAAATTTCCATATGGGACGCTGGGCGCGGTTCCCAGCACGTGCTGCTCCCCACGAATAGATTGGAGCTTTGTTCCCATTGAAAAAAAAAAAAAAAAAAAAAAAAGAGACGATGTTTGGGATGATGTTGGGACAATGTTTGGACAATGTGTGAGATGATGTTGGGGCTGATGTTTGGGTCGGTGTTTGGGACAATGTTTGGGATGATGTTTGGGTCGGTGTTTGGGACAATGTGTGAGATGATGTTGGGGCTGATGTTTGGGTCGGTGTTTGGGACAATGTTTGGGATGATGTTTGGGACGCACGAGAGAAAATTGGGGCCAGGGTATGCGGGCGGCCTAAAGCTGGGCGGATGGATCGACTCCACCTTGGAAAGTACTCTCCTGCATATTCTTTATCAGAAGATGTGTTTTTCTGAAGTAATATGACCATTATGACATTAGCTGTCATCGGGTTGATTTTTTGGGTAGTTAGCGCTGTAGCAGCTCATGACTAATGATGTCAGAGCCAAAGAGGATGCAATGCAATGTGAAAGAAAGAAGGAAAAATGATTCAAAAATCTTTAAATCTCCAATGTGTTTGTGCGAAGTCGCACCTGCAAAATGGTTTGATGGTTGGTGGTAGTTACTGGTTGGTTATTTGGTTTGTTGTTTTGTTCATTGGTTTGTTTCGTTGGTTTGTTCGTTGGTGCGAGGATTTTAGTCCCTCAGCAATGCGGGAAAAGGCCTCGCCCGCCCTAAGTGAAGGCGGGCCTGCAAATATGTGCCTAGGCCCGAGTACAGGCCGGTGTGAGAAGGCAATGGGACAAAGCATGAGGCCCTCAGCCTACGTTGAAAGGGCCTGCGGCCACTGGAAACTGTCTGCGCCCACCCTACGTGAAGGTGGGATCTCAGCAAAATCGACGAGGCCTTTCTTGAGGCCATTCTGAGCAGATTGGGCCCCCATTTGTTGGTTGCTGCACACAGCATCTTGAACCAACCAGTAGTAGGCCCGATCGGTTGAAGATGCTGGGCCCAACGAAGATGCTGAGGCCCAGGGCACCTACAGTTGAGCCCCAGGCACATTCTTCTGGAAGGGCCCAGGCACAGCTACTGGGACAGAGGTCGAGCATCCAGAGCCTGGCCTCGCCCAGCCAGACAGAACAAAAGAGAATGAGGCTCACTCATCATCAACCTTAGCGCTGGCTGGACGGCGGCAGCGCTGCTGGAGTGCTTGCTGGCTGCATGAGAGTCGGGCAGAGTGGAGAAGGGCACAGGCGGGGCACGAGGGAGAAGCTGCCTGTGTGCAGCTGGAGGGCGCAGCAGCCATAGCCGAGGTGCGGCCCATAGCCAGAGGAGGTGTGGCTGAGGTCCTTGGGCAAGGGACTGTGGAAGGACGACGAGGTGCGGGGGATGTGTGGAGGTGCTTACCTGGTGGTGAGGAGCAGGCTGCTTCAGCCGGAGTCTTCGTTCATCATTGGGCTGCTGTTCTTCATGAAAACCTGTTGTAGATAGGATAGATGCTCTCTGATTGTAGGTCTAGGCCCCCAGCTCCAATTAGGAGAGGCGACATTGTGGACATCATTGGTTTTGGAGGCGACTTTCATTATCAATTGACTTCACTGCTTTGCTCTTACGTATTCGATATTATCTCATGGTGCATCTGCTTTTAGTTCGCGCACCAAGTAATCTGGATTTCCATGGAATGCTGCAATTGGGTTTATTCAACTTTATTATCATTCACATTGCTCGTAAATTCCAAATCCTTTACATTGATTTGTTTGTTGGTTTTTGGTTTGGTTGGTTTCGGCGGTAATGACTGATGTACTATACACCACGCAAACAGATTCAAGTTGAAGCTCTCATGCTGGGTTTTGCAAGCCATCATGCAGGTGTGATGCCGGCGTGGAAAACCTTTATCGTTGACCTTATCAATGATGGATTGGTGCGTCTTCGTTCATGTGCGCTCTGTGCTCCTCCTCCTCCTCCTCCTCCTCCTCCTCCTCCTCTTCTCCAATAGTGCCAAATCCTGTGTTTGCTTGTTGATTACTTCTCAAGTTGAATGGGGACAATTTGGTATCCCTGTTGCTCTCCCTTCTTTTTTCCCCCCCCCATATAATCCCCATATTCTTATTTGTGACCTCGTAGCCTCGCAGGCCTCATGATAATGCTCTTTGTTGGGTAGGCTGTAGAATATGCCTTGCATCAAAAGCATAAAAAAAAAAAAAGGGCATAGTATGGTTGCATCATAGTGCCAACTGGTGGATACCCTATTTGCAAAATTGAGACAGACTCACAGAACTGATGGACAGAGTCACAGAAGGAAAAAAAAAAAAGAAAAAAAAAAAGAAGAAGATGGAAATGACTTCAAAATTCAAAGTTCAAATGACTGAAAAATTGAGCAGAGAGAAAAGGATGAGCATGAAAATGGAAGTAGCTGGAAAGGAACACCCAAAGAAGGGAAATGATGAACATGAAATAGAAATTATAGAATTATAGAACATTTCAGAAGTGGAAGTCGGGAGTGCTTGAAAGTGCTGAGCAAGTGCGCTTTGCGACATCCGTTAAAATTGGAACGTACAAAGAAGATTAGCATGGCCCCTGTGCAAGGATGACACACATACAAACTCAAATTGTGCAAAGAGGGCATCTATAAACTGTTGAAATACGGAGCTGAGCTCGAATCCAGACCGAACTAGATGAACTGAATTCCGGAGTTTACCTGGGGCCAGTCACCTTCACTATGATATCTCAAGGACGTCGCCCTTTTTCTTTTTCTTCTTTTTTTAAAGCAGGATCCAACACTTCCAAGCTCAGAAGAAGTGCCTACCCCACTCTCTCAACAGTTAACCCGATCCGTCCACACAATCCCAACCTCACACCGCGCAAACAGTGCGTTGTCATGCACTTAAACTCCGTAACCAGCGATCATTGCCCCACTTGATCCAGCCAGCTCGAGGCATTGGCCCGAGTCCTGCCGTCCGCCACATTGAACTCAGCGATCCTGCTCAGTTGACATCAGTACACCAGGACTTCCGATCCGTGAACTCAGGTGTTATGAACATGATTGTCCGTTAACGGATACAACAGCCCTACGTTGAAAACCAACTGCCACAAGAACCACCTGCAGAGCAACATACTGACAATGAAGTTACTATGAAGTCACTATGAAGTTGCCAACCCCAGGCCAAGCAGTGGCAGGTCAGATTTTGCAGCAGACGAATAGTTACTATGAAGGTACTATGAAGTTACTAGGAAGTTACTAGGAAGTTACTATGAAGTTACTATGATTTGCAGATGGTACCACCTGTCTACGATGGTACCACCTGTCCATGATGGTACCACCTGTCTGTGATGGTACCACAGTAACACAGTTACAGGTCAGAAAAGACTCAGAATCATTTGCAGACAGGCTATGATGGAACCTCAGTTGCAGGCCTGACGAACTCTCTGCTCACTGCTCAAATGCAAATGAATGAGCATCACTAAGATAACAGACAAAATATAGGGTACAAGCGTGCGGAAAGGTAGAGGGGTGCGTAGGCACCCAGTGCCCAGCTGCATTAACAGGGCTGGCCGTACACCAGTGAAATGGCCGATGCAGCGAAAACATCACAATCATTCCAAACTACCCAACACGGAAAGCAAATGTGTTACCCAGTTGGTTGGGCGCCTGTGTTCTACAGCCTCCTGTGTCGCAAGGCACAGGCTGCGGGTTCGAGTCCTGGCTGGCTCGAATGAGTGCCGGGATCGGAATTCGCCATATTGGACTCCGGAGCATTTGCATCCCGGGCCGGGTACCCCACGGGGCGACGGCCGTAAGGCTGTGTAGATGTTGTATGGGGGGTCTTGCCCGTTGAGCGTCCTGCTGGCTGTGCTTACAACATGCACAGTTCGTTGGGGGAGGGGCGCTGCGGGACTGGGTACCATTGGGAATCTCTCACCTTGGAATGGCCCCCACTCTGCCCTCGGCGTGTCGTGGGAGTGTGATTATAGCACTGGCCGTCCAGCAGGGTCGGGCGCCCGGATTTGGAGTCCTCTGGTAGAGCGCAGAAAACCCAAAAAAAAAATTAAAAAAAAATCCTTTTTTTTTTTTTTTTTTTGCACGCCCGGGTGCCTGGCCAGGCAGGACCGGCCGGCCGTGAGAATCTTCCTAGGTTTCCACAACTTTCCAGTAGGATTTCTATCTGACTGCTGTGGTGATTGTTGAAAAGACCGGCGCAAAAGGGGTTGCTATGGTGACTGCTGGAAAAATGGGGGCATACCCGCCCACATGGTGCAAAAGGGGGTTCCCAAATCAATGACCCTCCATGCCTGAGCATTCTACCTGCAACTACCGGTCCAGCAGGGTAGGGCCTGCCTGTACCTCAGCCTGCACAACCTTTAACAAAAAAAAAAAAAAAAAAAAAAAAGTGTTTCTACAACTTTCCAGTAGGATTTCTATCTGACTGCTGTGGTGATTGTTGAAAAGACCGGCGCAAAAGGGGTTGCTATGGTGACTGCTGGACAAGTGGGGGCATACCCGCCCACATGGTGCAAAAGGGGTTCCCAAATCAATGACCCTCCATGCCTGAGCATTCTACCTGCAACTACCGGCTGTGCCTCATCAGAGTTATGCCAGTCAGCCCTCAGTATTTCTGCTGAAGATTGCCCCACAAGCAAGACCTTGCCTCCAGCAGCCCTGCTGCAAGAATTCTCATGCTTACCAAGGTAGAGATCATATGCGGGAGGGTGAGCACCTCAGAAGATGTCCCATCTATTGTGAGAGTGTGAGGACCAAGGATGTCCCATCTATTGTGGGAGTGTGAGCACCAAGGATTTCCCATCTATCGGGGAATGACCTTACTTCTTGATCAAGCGAACATGCAGTTGGACCCTGCTGCTGTGGATCCCATCCCACCTGCCTGCAAAGGGCTAGACACATCACACCACCAAAGGGCCCAAACCCGAGTTTTAGTTTTGGTCCTTTTGGACCTGTTGGCCAGGAGCTGAAAGTGGGGGAACCATTAACCAATTGTGGAGAGACAAAATTGGCAGTGTTTGTGGAGGCTTCCTGCTAGTATTGGTGTCTGAAATTCTGAATTTCTCTGAAAGCTTGTAATCAACGATTGCGTTGTCAAGCGCATCGGTCCCAGCGTGAGCGAGGGCCCTCCCGGCCGCGTCACGCAGGAGAAACTTAGGCTTTCAACCTTTTAGAGACAACTCGGGGACGACACGGTAACCAGCGTCGACCCTTCGCCGCTCCGGTCGAGTGCGCCAGCTGTACATCCCGCGGTCCCCTACGACAGGATAGGTTCTCGCGGGGCACAACTTACCTTCCCTAAGGGTGGTGACAGCGTGATGTTGCCAACCTTAGAGCATTTGCAACCCTCCCAGAACGAGGGTTGCTGGGAGGGGAGGGGAGGGGAGGGAGGTTGCACACACACACACACACACACACACACACACACGCACACACACACACACACACACAGAGAGAGAGAGAGAGAGAGAGAGAGAGAGAGAGAGAGAGNGAGAGAGAGAGAGAGAGAGAGAGAGAGAGAGAGAGAGAGAGAGAGAGAGAGAGAGAGAGAGAGAGAGAGAGAGAGAGAGAGAGAGAGAGTTGGAGAGGGTTTGTGAGAAGGTAATGGAGAGAGGGTTGAGATCAAAACAGCGGGAACTAGGCTTTAGGCTTGTTGATGCAAGCAAGGGGGAATACTCGAGCTGCACGTCTACCTCCTATGAGAATGTACTGAAATTTTAAGGAACATGGCCTTGCAGATCAAAGTGACATTTGCAACAGAGGTGCTGGCAATGTGGAGTGTTTCTTCTAGAACTGTGGTGTTCACGACAACTTTGAAGAAGACCGATGGGGGTTCAAGACCATTATCGGGCAGGTGCGCTCTCATATCACTCACCATCACAGCGATTTGCTATTGTCCACCTGGTGGAGAATAAAGTACTGCTGCAATCACGTTGTTTTTTTGTTGTTTTTTTTAACCTTTTTTTTTCTTTTTTTTTCCCTTCTGTCAACTTCATCTCAAAAGATTCTCAAAGTTCAGAATCCGTCAAACAAAATTGGAATGGTCCAGAGAATATTTGCGTGACCCTTCTGCGAATCTTCTCTGGATCATTCCAAAATGGATGACACACATAAATTGAGAAGTGTTGACGGTTCCAAATTTGTCGAACTCCTTCAGAATCGATTTCAGAATTGATTTCTGTTCACATTGTTCCTTGTTTCAAACTCGATCCCAAAGGTCACAATTGATTTCAGATTTTTTTATTTTTTTTTAATTATTATTATTATTTTTTTTTTTTTTTTTTTTTTTAACTAGTGATTTCAGAAGTTATTTTTGTTGGGGTAATAATAATAAAAAGTGTCGTTGCAATGAAAACAAGAATATTAACTTCCATAATTTTTCCAATTATTTGAATCTTTCGAAATATAATATCTCATTTCTGTTGTTGTCACAACTGGATGGAAGATTCAAAAGCAGTTTGTCTCCTTCTGGCACTTTGGTTGCAGTGATGAGGAGAGTGAGACACTGGGGACTCGGTGAGGAAGGATATGGGGGAGGTAGAGTGGATTGAGGGAATGACGACGGAGGTGGGGGTGGGTGGTCATCATCACATTGCTCTTTCTCCACCTCTTGTATTGTGATCATGCTTGTCGTCACATACCAGCTGATATTACACACACATGGGAATCATTGCGCTTTTTCGATGGCTTGGACAGTCTGGCTCTCCGCCTTTCTTCTAGGAGGCTGGGGTGTCTACCGATGCGTATTTTTTTAACCTCAAGTGCATGTCAAGCAGAAGGGGGGGGGGGGGGGGGGGGACCCTGTGGGCACTTCCTGCTCAACCACTCGGTCTGGGGAACCTTCGACATTTCTTTATCTTTTGACAATTGACGTGGAGCAAGCTAGGGAGGGAGGGAGGGAGGGAGGGAGGGAGGTGTGTTTTTTCTGTTGCGCTTTTTCACAACATCCTCGAACTGGGACCTTGACGCTGGATGGACGCTGCGAGAATACCTACAAGCCTACCGTCTTCAGCTGAATAGAATGCCCGGTCATTATAGCTGTATTTGGCACAACTTTCGGTCCAGATGCAGCGATAATGACTGGGCGCTCTATTCGGGTGAAGACGGTAGCTCAGTTGTTGGTTGGTACATCCCTGAATGTTGAAATACAGACCTGGGTTCAAATCCAGAGCAACCAGATGAACATAATTATCTGTCAAATTGTGCCAAGACTCAATAGCAATGTTTCATCTTGAGCCCACCATTCAGGAGTGAACAGCCTGTCAATGGTCCACATACTATACATTAGCCAATAGATCAGTAGGACGATGCTATTGGTAGTCGTTGTGCTATTGGCTATTGGTTGTCGCTCACAAGCATCAGGGGGAATATGTCAGCAAGAGAGAGCTGTGTACTATCACTACCGTCTTCACCCGAATACAACGCCCGCCACCCGGTCATTATCGCTGCACGTAGACTGAAACTTGCACCAAATACAGCTATAATGACCGGGTGTTCTATTCGGGTGAAGACGGTAGGACGGTGCTATTGGTAGTCGTTGTGCTATTGGTTGTCACTCACCAGCATCAGGGGGAATATGCCAGCAAGAGAGAGCTGTGTGGTGCTTCAGAGCAGTGCAGAGTAAAGATTGCTTGTGAGATGGAAATATAAGCGATTGGAAAAAATTGGTACCAAAATTGGTACCAAGCAAGTGGGACTGGTACATGTACCCTCCCTCTCTTGGTCTGCATTCACATTCTGGGCCCAAGGGCTCCTGACCTCCTGGTCTGCTCAAAATCGTCATTGAGAGTGGGGCTGGTATGCATCAAATGGGGCTGCTGGTTGGGATAAAATAGGGCTGGTAGGCATCAAGTCGGGTTGGTGCATGTACCCTTCCTTGCCCTGCATTAACACACGGGCAAGGTATCAGGGATAAGATAAGACAATGCACGGACAGGCAGTGGGGGACTAGTTAAAACTGCACACCCAACATCTCTTCTCAGATACAGAAGTCACTGGCACGTGGGGATATCTACTACACCTTTGTTCTCATTTGCTTCTCCATCCGGCCACACACATGCACGCACACAGCATGCCTGTCCAAGGCACAGACATGCACAACAGACGCCACAAAACATCATATGTACTGCATCTTGCAACTCACAACTCACAATCCACAACCTGAAAATCATGACAATTATACCTGCACAAGGCCGTAACATACACAGTATATACAACAGACAACTGCAAATGTAATATGGCTGGACAGTACACTTATAGTCATAGACACAAACAACATAAGACAACCTCTGGAAAAATAGAACTAAGACAACTAAGTCACCAAATAGATTACTATCACAAAACATGTTTCCTTTTCACATTGTATTTCACAGGGACGCTGGACCCGATTTCCAGCAAGTGCTGCTCCCCACTAATAGATGGAGCCTCCCCGGAGCTGCTACAGGTGTCTGCTCTTATCAGCACCTCTAGCATCCATTCGGGTTGTTTGTTTATAAAAAAAAAAACATCCTTCGCCAAAGACTCCAAGAGGTCCTGACTCCTGACCTTATGGCCTGCTTTGGCCCCATTTGGGCAGGACCCCTCTTGGGCCCATAAGGTCAGCTCAATTCCGGCTTTCGCTTGATCGTCCGATCACCAACGTTTTATCTGATAGGTGTGAGACTTCGGATTGCACCTCCCTCTTTATGTGGTGGGTGGTGTTTTACACAGTCGTCCTTTTTTTTTTCTTCCTTTCCAAGGAGGTAGCCCCTAACATGGTTTTTCTGTTCACCTACTGGAAAGATTCGAACTCGTGATCTGTTTCCTAACAGTTACCTACCTGTATGTCTGCGCTCACTTCCATTGACCCTGGGACTATACATAGAGTAGCAAGAGGATGAGATAGATGAGGAAAATATATACAAACTATTACAAAGAAGATTGAGAGAAGAATATACTAATATAGATTAGCTTAAAAAAAAAAAAAAAAAAAAAAAAAACCTCATCTCTCTTGAACAATGCACGCAATATTGCACAGATGCGTCTATTTTTTCACTGGGTTTAGAGTTTACGAAATGCACACACGATTTGTTATAGACGCTATCGAGTCTATGCTAGAGATGTCTATGCAGGCAGTGTTTGCGCAGGTGGATGTCTGCACAAAGGCCACAATGTTTTTTTTCTTTCTAAAAGGGCGATGGCCTTGATGCCATCACCCTTTTAGAAAGAAAAACATTGTGTCCTCCGTCCAGACATGCACCTGGGCAAACACTGCCTGCAATGTACATCTATATATCGTCAAATAGAACTGCCCGGTAAACCATAGGCAGAGAGGGAGAAGAGGACAACAAACGAGGGGCTGTGACAAACTGTTTCGTCAGGGTTTCACCGACTCGTATATATATATATATATATATATATATATATATCACCATTCAACGTATCGGCCCCCATGTAACTCATAATTATTTTGAGTGCATTTGGATTCGAACTCGGGTCTTCTGTATTTACAATTTTCAAACAGTTCATGGGTGTATCAACGGAGCTAGGCCCGTTGTTGGTTAGGGACACAAATGTTGTCCTAGTCAGATCCTTCCGTCGTTTCCGTTTTCTTTGGGGTGTTCACTGTTCAGAGTCTTCAGACATTTTGGTGTATGCCCCAGATTTAAAGCATTGCCCGGTTGGTCGATGAGCAAAGGCTTGTAGCACTTTTATTTTTTATTTTTTATTTTTTATTTTATTTTATTTTATTTTAGTGAAAAATCCCAGGTTGTTGTGGAGGTTGGATGCTAGACATATGACAACTGAGAGGGGAAAGCAATCAGGTCGATGCGAAGCTGCCAGAAGGCAGTCGTTACGAGGATGGAACGCGGATGCAGAAGAAGCAAGCATATGACAGCCTACATATGTCTAATCGCAACGGTACCGCCCAAGTTTTAGTTTTATTTTGTAATTTTTATTTCTAATTTACTAATTTGTAAAAATTTTAAATTGTAATTTGGAGTCTTTTTTGGACCATTTCTTTTTTATTTGTGTTTGTCTAACTTTGTCATCCTTTTTGCAGGGGCCATGCCAATCTTCTCTATATCGTTCCAATTTCAACGGCTGTGATTTTCCAAACAACACCACCCCAAGTTCCTTTTTCCAGAAGAAGGGAAAAAAAAGTGTCTTGGAAAAAAGTGTCTTGGACAGTCTGGTTCAGGCCTGAGACTCAACTGGGCTATCTTTTTCTTCTTTTTAATATGATGTTAGCATGAACCTGTTCTGAATGCTTGTCCAGGAGAATAATAGCCAAGTTGTTGGGCCTTGACCTTCTAGTCTCGTTTTTTCTTTTGTTTCAGGTCTGAACGCAGCATGCAGTTAGATAAGCTTTGTTATACCTTCTTTTGTTATTTTTTATATGATGTTAGCATGAACCTGTTCTGAATGCTTGTCCAGGAGAATGAATAATAGCCAAGTTGAGCCTTGACCTTCTGCTTATATCTGCCTTCTGTTTGTGATCTCCTTGCAGCGAATATCAGCAGCTAAGCGGGACCGCTGGGAGAAGAGGACTAGATGAATTTGCGAATGTGGTAAGCGTCGTCGTGCCATTTTCGTTATCGTTGTTGTTGCTGTCCTCTCTTCCTCCATAAGCGGATGACAGTGACGCCCACTTTTCAGCCCATAGGTTTTTAACCCCCCAAGCACTCAAAAATTCAAAATGGTATTTGGGGATATTCTTTTCTTCCAGAGTTTTTGTTATAAAGACCATGAAAAAAAGAAAACAACAGAAAATCCAAGACTCTGTTAACCACTTCACTCTTCTCCTTCCTTTGTGTCCTCCTCCTCTTCCTTTGCTTTCACCTCCACATCCATATCCATATCCATCTCCTCCTCCTCCTCCTCCTCCTCCTCCTCCTCCTTTCCTTCTCCTCCTCCTTCTCTCCTCCTCCTCCTCCTTGTCTGACTCCTCTGTCTCCTCCTTCTATCCACACTTTCACATTTGAATATATACATATTAAGTATAGTTCACCTGTGCTGCCTGCATATATCTCATAATTATTGAAACATTATTTCTAAAACAGTTATAAAATTACTATGAATTCAACCAACCCCATGCACAACAGCCTGACCAGAGAAACGCATAACTCCGGTAGCGGTTAATATCAGATGAAAAAAAAAAAACGAGAAAAAAGTAAAACTTCAGAGAAATATGGCAGTTTCGGTGAAAAATTCGCTAAAATTCGCCGAATTTTGGGCCTTCCATTAACCGCCTCTGTAACGGGAGTGAGGCTGAGGGTGAGCCGAGGGAGAGGAGAGAGAGAGTGAGAGAGTGAGAGCACACACACACACTCACTCACTCGACATGACGGACTCGGACTGAGGGTTGGACGCAGACACAGTGGCAAGGCACAAAGTCGAAGTCTTGGATTCCCAATGCCGAAACGGCAAGTCACACTGAGTACAAGTACAGCAGCAGAGAACTGGTACGAGACTGGTCCCCGTACGGTACGGGGAGCCGGTATAAGTACCGGTGACACGTACGGTACCAGGGGCATTTCTGCAAAGGCCCCGAGGGCAGAACTGAAAAATGCAGTATTTGAAAGTGGCGCCCGAATTGCAGCATGGCGCCAGTTGTCCA